CATGAGCACCTGACGTTGTTCCACTTTGGTTGTACCGTCCAGGCGGAGGTAACGGTACCCATGATAGGCCAAAAATTGTTCCAAAATATCAAGCATACGTGCCATTTGAGTAAACATGAGTACCCGATGGTTTCCAGCCATCAGATCTCGAAGAAGCATGTCTAGGCGCTGTAGTTTACCTTTAGAGAACAACAGAAGCGAAATCAAGTATCACACAGAGGTAAAGAAGCAAGGGTGGTTGATGGCATGTAATATCGTGAAATTGAATGGTAGTATCTCGACAAGAGGTTACTTTAACAACGCTTTCGTATAATAACGACATTGTCGAAAAAGGCAGATGTGATTGGTTACATGTTTCTTTTTCTAGTGTAACTTGCACTTTAAATTTCCTTACAGACCGATAGGATTAGGTTTAGCTAAAAGCGGGCAATTCTTGTAGATCAGTCAGATTGAAAATGGAGAACCCGTCACACGCAAATTTGTTTTGGAAAAACAGATTAACAAGGCCCTATAAGACACAAAACCCTTTTAAGTTTGCGTAATTATGAAAGTACTGGTTTGAGAAGTCGCCCTTTGCGAAAATTTTACGGAAAACACAGTCCCACGGAGGTATAAAAGTCCTTGCTGTTTGGGAAGTAGCACACAGGCGACTTTCTGCGATCAACTGGACAGAATTTTTGTACGTTTCCATAGACGGTACCGACTACACAGACTAGCCCGCTTTTAGAGTCATGGTTACACTTTTCGTTAAAACAAGAGCATTAGTAACAATCCAGAACTTCCTCAGTTTAGAAAGACACAGGCCGAAAAAAGTGCGCGAACAAAAAACTTGCAAACTGATACTAAAAAAACCTGAGGCGTTTGTTTGGTTACAGACACAGTTATTAAACCCTTTTTGCAGTTACTTTCGGCGCTACCGAAATAACAAACAGAAGCATGGGTACACAAGCAGCGTACTTCAGGCGTGGGAACACGTGCATAGACAAAAAGAGGAATGAAAGAGGGCTAGAAAGGAGACCAGGAAGTCCAGACTTACCGCAGTCGTACTGAATAAGACGAGGATCCGGGAACTGGAAGCACTGACTGTTAGCTATTTGGTACAGTTGAGCTGGAAAGATCCAGGAGCGCAGGGTCAGCGAACGGCAGGGGCAGGCAGCTGCAGTACGGTGCTCCGGTGCATGCACCTTCACCGGCTGACAGTGATTGAAAAGACCGGCGCTGACAAGGTAGGAATTTACCACACAGCCAATGGCCTCATCCTGCTGTGACTGACAGTGCTGGAGAACAGCAGAGGAGGCGTTCAGTTGCGCACCCGCCGAAACAGCAGTCGGGATCGTCATCAAAAATCTGATAACGAGGATGGCACGCAAAGGAGAGCCTGTTAGCGACAATAGCATGGGTCGGCAGGCCAAACAAAATAAAAACGGGCAATAAAGAATGATAGAGGCAAGAATGGCGGCTAAAAAATGATTACAAGGAACACGGACTGGAGTAAAAGGTAGCTGAAGGCTCTGGAGCAATTGCACAAGTGCAGAGGTATAAACTAGTGAGGCCAAGTCAAGGTCCTGGAGAATGGCGTTCGACGGTTCATCTAAGTCAAGGCGAACGGTGACGCATATGTGAATAGCGTTCAAGTGAAGAGATCTCGTGCTGCACTCACTGAGTTAAAGAATCATTCTTTTATGGTAAGACTACGTCAAAATAAAATACGAGTTTGTATAGAGTGGCTGAATGGGCCTCCACTCGTGCAACACACACACACACACACACACACATGCTGGTTCGCTGCCCGAAACAAAGTCTACCTCGCGCGGACACTTTTTGGCCCTCATGCGGGTCCACCGCATCAGGGTTTAAAAGACAGGTGGAACTAAACCTCGTTCCAACTGTACGAATTCCATACGGGCCTAAGGGGCGAAGGAAACCAATCAGGCGTAGCTTAGTAAATCACACCTGCATTTTGTATCCTTACACACTACCCAGGATTCAAAAAGCCTTCCCTTATCCCTAGAGCTTTGGAGAAAAAGATTCCAGCACAAATATGGATCAGCATGGGTGGCACGACTAAAAGGCTGTTGGATGTTAGTTTGGAT